GGACAAGAAGAGAGGGACACAACCTAGAACAGATAATGGATGTCTATTCTATTAACATTTCTCTATCTGTATAATAGGTCTGTTTTATGTGTTGTTTTCTTAATTCAGAGGGGCCCCTGCCTGTCTTTACCTAGGGCCCCACATTTCCTAAATCCGCCCCTGCCTGCAGCCCAGTATTTATCAGCTTCTCTTGAAATTGGCATTGAGTATTTTTCTCTCTGAACACCGCTATGCACTACAGAAGGCAACCAGAAGGTTGTGAATAGTAGTAATCCAATGATTCCTCTTTGATGGATTAGCATTCAGAGAAAAGTTTGTAGAAAGAATGATCTGGCTCTGAGCCTCGATGTTCCTCTCTGATCCAGAGAGGAAGGCCAGTATTCAGGATCGCTTTAAGATTCTTTTAATGTGAAACTGGTTCTTCATCTGTTGCTTGTAAGGAAACTGAGTAGAAAAGTTTTCACCGCTCTTCCTGAGAATGACCCACTGTTCCTCAGATATTCCATCCAAGGCTCCTTCTCCTCATGTTCGACTCGGTTAACGCCCACTTTTAACCATAAAAGGTCCATCAGAGGGCCACATGAGTGTTATTGTGTAATTAAATGAACAAGATGATCTGGTTTTAGCAGCAAATTTGAAACTCTGGATGAAACCTCAGACTTTATAGATCCACATCTTGACTATAACTCAAGCAAATTTGGACTGAATAAGTTGAAGCATGTTCTAGTTAAGGTTTTAGTGGGCAGTTTGCTAGGCGGAAATGTGATTTTGGCACAATGCCAAAAGTGCAAAAATGCATTTTTCCTCTCAGAAAAGGGAATCTGGTCAGACAAATGTGCTGATTTACATTATTGGAGACTTTTTGCATAAGACAAAGCCTTTGCTCCTTAGATTTAGCCATTGTTTCATTGAAATTTACCAGTAATGTCACCAAACTGAATAGAAAATAAGAATAACAGAGCAAGCTTATGTAACGCACGCCGGTTACATCACTTGAAATTGTCGCATAATTATCTCTGACCCCTCCTTGAAAAGGTCTGAGCCTCTAGTTTCCAATGATACCGCC